CGGGTCGGCCCGAGAAGCACGGCCATTTCCATAGGCCGTGCCAGCCCGAGGCCCACTGAGCGGCCGCATGGGGAGGCGAGGCGGAGGTGGCCGCCGGGGCTGGGAGCGGCGAAGCTGTGCAGGCGGCGCCCTCCCTCAAGCGATGGTGAGGAAGAGATGAAGAGGGGCCGAGGGGGTGAGCGAGATGGAGAGGAGAAAAAACAAGAAAGGGAGGGAGTCGTCGGATTTGCCCGCATGTGCGCTCCTAGCCGCACGCCGCCGAGGGAGAGTGAGGGAGGGAGGGAGGCAGGGACGGGGAGGAGGCGCCGCACCAGCGTCGAGGCAAGGGTGGGAAGCCGGATCCGCGGTGGAGAAGACCTAGCGTGACCAGATCCAAGGCGGAGAAATTTGTCATAAGTGTCGTCACATACCAGGCCTGCTGTGCCGTCACATAAATGCATCCGTCCACCCATTTGCCTTCTTATAATTGGTGGTGGTACTCATCAATCAATCCCTATCGACGGATGCAATCCCGTGCCGTAATCAAATATTTGCAAATGGAATCAGTAGGGTCGGTCGGTCGTGTCCTCTTGTTTGTACTTGTGCGAGGGGTCCGGTCCTGTTCGTTTCTCTTATAATCTGTCTTTTTCGGCTTATTTTTTCAATCAGAACATTGTTTTTCTCTCGTAACAAATCAGCCGGAACAGTATTTTGATTTGTTTTTTCAGCAAAACAAACGGGGCCTGTTATTTCGTGTCTTTTCTTTGGATGTTTCTTCTCTCTTCTGCTTTTTGAGCACTTTTGGTGTTAGGCGCGATTAATTCTAATAAATAATACTAGCACTACCTAATAAAAGGCCAAAATAAAAAAAAACTCAATTATTGCTGTCCTTGTCCTTGAAATGCAAGTATCTGTCGCTACTCCAGTAAACAACCAACCCCACTCGTTGGCACGTCAGTGTCGGTTCCAAATTGAGATTCGGTACTGACACAAAACTGTAGGTATAAACAGAGTTGTTGTCTCGATGTCTTTTTTTTTTTTTGACCGAAAAAGACTGTGGGGGATCCCCACAGTACCCACCTTTTTAAATTAGATTAAAAGAGAGTATACATACTTACAACAAGTTTCTAACCGAAAGCAGCAAGCCAAACGCAGAAGGATGACCTAAGGTCCTCCTTACATCTAATAGACTGTAGAAGACATTGACTCTTGAAATTAGCTAACCATAAACTAAGACTCGGATTCCTTCTTTGAAAAACTTTATCATTACGAAGCTTCCACGATTCCCATGCCGCTATCAACGCTGCCTCCGTGAAGAAGGGAAGGTTATTAGTCGTTCTTGCTTGAGTCAATCTGTCATTAAGCTGCAATAAATCATCCCATTCGAAGTGGATAGCTGCCCAGCATTCCTGGGCAAAAGAGCACTCAAAAAATAGATGATCGATGGTCTCCTCAGCTCCACTGTCACACATGATGCAGAGAGTGTCATCCAGAATATTTAGATGTCTACGACGCAGCATCGACTTGGTGTTCAGACGATCAACCAAGATGAGCCAAGCAAAAAACTTGACACGTGGAGTGCATCGGGATTTCCACACTGCCTTGAAGATTGGGTGTGACTCCATGTTACTGAAGACATGAGAGTAAAAGCGCCTTGATGTGTACCTAGCCCCCCATGCAGGCACCCAAATGTCCTTAGCCTCTTCATTATATGGCAGCACCTGTAATTGAGCCTGGAGATCTTCTAGCTCCTGAAGAGCTTGCTGTGACAGAGGCAGGAAAAAAATACTATCAAGGTCTTTAGCTTGCATAATTTCCATGACAGAGGCATCATCATTCCTGGCAAACGAAGCAAGGCGTGGATACATTTGGGATAGAATTGAATCTGCCCAAAGATCATCCCAGAAGCAGACTGAGGAACCATTGCCCAACTCACACCTGGAAATTTGCCTAAAGATAGTGTTGAGCCGAAGGACATCCTTCCACCAAAAAGAGCCAATTTCTCTCGCAGCATGAGGTACTTTAGAAGTGTAGTACTTGTACTGGATAACTGCACCTGTGGTATGTCTACGCTTTATTGTAGAATTTGCTTAGGTGTTTTAGGAGCAACGATCGTTCAGTAGGCGGAGGTTCGGGACACCTAATCCCCCCCCTTTCTTTGGGTCTCATGACCACCGGCCAAGCAACTAAATTTCCTCCTTTCTTCTCGCATCATTTCCACGCCAGAGGCATTGCTTCTGCAGCTCTGTCAATGTTGTCGATCACACCTTTTGGGAGCTTGATGGTGCACATGGCATAGGTGGTGATAGGGGTGATGGCTGAATTTACCATTTCAAGTCGCCTGGGAGTATGACAAACTGTGTGGAGCATGCCGATAATCTTTCTTTCAACTCTGTCCATCATTGGGGTAAGGTCTTCCATACGTGGCTTTGTTGTACCCATTGGCAGTCCTGTGTATGTAAATGGCATTGAGCCAACATCACGCCAAATGTGTTGCAAGCGTGAGCTAGTTTGTCCCTGAGATATTGATGGAGTACATGTGTGATTTTTTCGTAGTTCAATTGTAGTCCAATCGAAATGGAGAAGTGTGGCAGGAGTGATTTTAAGAAGAACAAATCGCCTAGCATCACTTGGAGAAGCATCAATGTGTCATCAAAGCATATTGGACAATGGGAAACTCACTCATCGATCGAGGTATTGGCAATCTGAGGCAAGCCTATCTCCATTGCTTGGTTGACAAGAATCTGTAGTAGTTCAATTGCAAGAACAAATAAGAGAGGGATAGTGGATCCCCTTGTCGAACTCCCTTTTACATTTGAAAAATTTTCCTGGGACCCGTTAAGCAAGACTGCGAGAAGAACCAGAAGATAGAATTGCTTGGATCCAAGCTAGCCATTTCTCGGGAAGCCCATATGTGACATAACTGAAGAATGATGGTGAATGCTCCACCGTGGTCGAATGCTTTCTCAAGTCAAGTTTCAAAATGATTATTTCCCTCCTTGACTGGTGACACCGATGTATATATTCATAACTCCAAGCTAAACAATCTCAGATCGTATGCGGGAACGGATAAAACCAGATCTGATTGCTATGAACAATTCAGTAAAATAACCGCTTGCAATCATACGCCAAGATCTTGGTTATTATTTTGAGCGAAATGTTCATGAGTGATATGGGCCGAAAGTCATTAACCGTTTCTGGGCTGTCTTTCTTGGGTACCAATGTGATGTAAGAGGTGTTGATAGACTCTAAATTGATCCTTGCAGCATAGAAGTCTGCACATAGCGAATAGAAATCGCTCTTAACTAGCTGCCAACATTTTTTCAGGAAAAGCCCGTTGAAACCATCCGGTCCCGGCGCCTTGTCATTGGGCATATGCTTGATCACCATGTCAATCTCCTCATGACAAATTGGCATAGTGAGCACATTCAGGCCGTCAATCTGCGTGATCAGACTTGTTAGATCGAAAAGCATGACCGGTTCAGATGTTGTCCCCATGCGGATTCTGAATGCAGTCCACAAGAGCCCTGCCTTTCCTGCATGATCCTGAATCCAAACTCCTTGATCGTTCATAATCTGGGAGATGGCATTCCTTCTGTAAGAGATGGTTGCCATACCATGGAAAAACTTGGTGCATTCATCTCCTAGTTTTATTCTGTTGACTGTGTACCGATTCCTCCAATAGAGATTTTTGTAGTGAAGCCAGGTTTGGAGTTGCTTTTTGACGGCATTTCTAAGATTGATTTCTGGATTAAATAGGCCTCTTCTATCCTCCAGGCCATCCAGAAAACCTATGACACTGTTGCAGTTACTAATTAAGAGTCGAAGGTTGGATATATCCTTGCTCCAATGCTTCAATCTTGCTCTGAGTGCTTTGAATTTTGAGGAAATATTCCTTGCTACATCATTTTGTCTAGGGGTGCTCATCCAACAATCCATCACTGTTTCTTGGAAGTAATTCTGCTGTACCCAGAAATTTTCAAACCGAAACAAGCTCGCTTTGGGTATACTTGTGCTGACAATCACCTTGCAGGGTATGTGGTCTGAGGTGATCTTAGCTAGGGGGAGGACTTCTGTATTGGGGAAGTCAATGGTCCAATTTGCCGAAGTAAAGAACCAATCTAGCTGTTCTAGAAGCGGATCAGACTGCATATTACTCCATGTGAAGGCACGCCCCTTCAGTGGCAACTCAACTAGACCCAGGTGACCAATAGCATCATTGAAGATGAGAGTGTCAGCAAGATTACCTCCTGGTCTATTGCGATTATTGAGAGATCTGTAAAAATTGAAATCACCCAAAAAAATCCAGTTGTCGGAGTCATTGATATCATGATCACGGAACCAATTGATAAAATCAGAGCGTGCAGGTTCATCACAAGGCCCATAGACTGTGGTTAGCTTCCATGTCTCTCTATTATGCACTGAAGTGAAACCCACAGTGATGCCAAAACTTTGTTTATCAAGAACCGTTCCTGAAAGCACATTGCTGTTCCATAGGACAAGAATGCCTCCCGAGGCTCCCACCGATGGGATGAAATCAAAACAATCAAAACGCCGCGGAGCAAATTTTTTGATATACGAAATATCAAAAACCTCACGTTTCGTTTCTTGCAGACATATAACAGAGCTTGCGCTTTCCTCAATCTTATTCCGAACTGCATCCCACTTTTCTGACGCGTTAATTCCCCGAATGTTCCAACATAATATCTGCCAATTTCGTGTATTCATTGCATAACAAGTGGGTTGGATAAAACCACCTAATTATGACTAGCATAATCAGGTACAAAAGAATGAAGATGGATGCATAACAGAAAAGGTTCAAAGGCCAGAAAGCATTTGAGCATAAGCTCAACAGCCAGAGAACATAAGTGTTCAGGAGCATGATCATCCCCCAGTACCACGATAGAAAAGAATTTGTAGGAAAAACGACATTGTCATATGAAAGGGAAAGATAAAAAGACCATTTAACAGGATGATAGATATAGCAAAAGCATGTAGGCCTCTCCAGCACTACAAGAAGGCTAGTTGGCGTGATCTTCATTGGGAACTTGGCCTATTGGCGCTTGCAGCAGCGCGTCTTCAGTGAGCTCGCTAGGAGCCACACCACAGTCGATACCCCAACCTTGCAGCACAAAAATGTCAACAGGAGCAACCTCTCCTGTTGATTCGTTAATCTGGACCACGGCTATTTTGCGTTTCTTCGATGGATTGGCAGATAGTCTGACAGGGCAGAATCCATCCAATTTAGCAGTGCGTCTGGAACTGCGTCTCACAGTACTCTGAACCAAAGGTGTGGAAGCACTACTTTCAGATATAGTAGTTGGGAGAGCGAGGGTCTTCTTCTCATTAGCTGCCTTGCTCTTTTGGCCCTGAGTGAGTGATGGGCTGGGCCTGATTTGCTCTGATTGAAATTCAAACTGAGGTGGGGGGCCCAAAAGGATCACAGGACCAGAGGGAACAACAGTTGCTCTAGCATTTGCTTCACGTCTGCTCTTAACTACTGCAGGCCAGAGCTGGAGAGCTAGCACATCGAAAACTGGCTTCCATGGGACGATCTCCATACCAGTAACAGCAGCAGGGGCTGGTTGGAGGAGGGCAGATTGCATTGCATTTCTATCAATGATAATGGGAGCAGATGAAGTTGAACCTCGGACAAAAACGTCATCTGGTAAATCCTTCCTCTTGAATATCAAAGCATTGGCACAACATTGTTGGGCAGCTGCAAAGCGGGCACGTTCTTCCAACGGCGCAGACGTGGCATCATTGGATGAAGAGCTACTTTCGTCAACAACACCTTCAAACAACTGATCCTGGTTAAGGGAATGCGAAGAGTCCGGGGAGCCAGTGCAGGAATCGAGGATATCAGAAGCCTTGCATATTGGGATCTTTGGAGTCCACACCAATCTGTGCTTGACTCGAGTCACATGGCTGTGTGGTAAAGTGCGATCATCATCCATAATTAGTTTTGGCTGCCACATAAAAATAGGAATTGAACTTGTGGAGCACATTTTCCGTGTGTGACCAAATTTTGAACACTTCCAGCATCGGATTTTCCCAGGGCATTTGGCGTTGAGGTGACCCAGACTGAAACAGCTAGAGCAGCGAGGCCCAGTAACAAGAGATTTAGAGTTTGAAATATGGGCCGAAGATTTCGCCCTGGCCGTAGCATTAGCGTCGGGAATTTCTCCAGGCCTCTGCATGCTGGGCGACCGTTGCATCTCGGATTTTAGAACACGATCCTGCTTGGCTCCAGGCTGAAAAGCATGAATGTGATCCATTCCATACTTAAGATCGGTGTTTCCAAAAACAAGATTGCCAGGAGAGGTGACAGCAAGAACAGAGAAAGCACCGAAGGATATCTTCTCCTTCACAGGGGAGGATTTGACGGGGGAGTGATGAACTAAGTTCTTGGCAAAAGAGACCTTCTTGTGAGATTTAGCAGCGTCCTTTTTGGAACTCTTAGAAAGAACTTTAGTCCACTCTTTTTCCTGTTCGATTTCCCAAGCACGTTTCTCACGCTCCCAGTGAGGAGTGCCATTGTTCCATAAATGAAAATAGCAATCAAAACTGGAACTAATAACACGACGGAGTTTGTAGATATGAAAGCCAACTTGTTTTGAAAACATCGAGAAACGAAAGTGGTTGTTACTCAAGAACTTGACGTGGAAATCCAAAGCCCGACCACCCAAACAAGATTGGAGTGCAAGGGAGACTGATTCTTCCGTCAGACGAAAGAGGAAGCGCCGGAACGTGACGAGCAGAAAGAAAGAGCCATCAGGGATTGGGGATGGATGATGTACCGGCGATCTGAAGAGACGACGAACTTCATCTTGGAATTCCAGACCACGATCAAAGTCAAGCCGCTTGACCAGATCGGATGAGGAACCCATGGCCGGAGGAGCGTCAGGGGATCACCAGCAGGCACCATTGCCAGGAGACGAGGAGGTGGTGGTGGGGCGGCGAAGGGTGGGTGGGAGGGGTGGTCGCCGGGAGACTCTCATGGTTATGCTCAAGGTTTGATAAAATGGTTCTGCTTCTGTTTTTTGCTGCTGCGTTGATCTCCCTCCTTCTTGGTCTAGCAAATCATCGAATAGGTTGCATGCACGATCTGCAGGAGTCACTTCCGGCACCAAAACAGATCACCAGGGGGCAGGGGCCATGGCAGCGCGCTGGACGACCGCCGGCCAGTCCGGTCGAGTCGGGCTGCTGGTAGCTGGGTGCAGGAACCGCAGCCAGCAGCGCGCTGGTGGTGGGCGGCGGCGGCGAGGCGAGCGGCTGGGTGGAGCTACGTGTGTGTATGTCTAATTTGGTTGCCCTATGTTTGTCTCGATGTCTTGTTTGTGAGCTCTGTAATTTTATTTTATTCACCGATAATTAGCTTTTGGACGTAATTTCTTGTGCACTAGAAGACTACTACACTATATTTTCTTCGTAAAATGTTGGTTTGGGTTCACCGTTCCACGGAGTACCGTGCATCGATGCAGGAAATACGAGAGCGCATGAGAGCTGGAACTACGCGCCGTCGAGCTCCTCCTCGGACAGTAACGATGCTCTGGTGAGCTTCTTGACAATGCAGGCGATTTGGCCGTACGACAAGTCGAGTATTAGATTAGCTTGTCAGAGAAATACAAACCCCCATGTATGTAAAGTTAATGATTAAAACATGACTGAACAGGTTCGATCCTAGAGCCTACTGGTTACAATAGCCTAACACCTCATGTCTTGGATTCAACTCCACAGGTAAACGAATATTTCAAGATTTAACGGCTTTATGCTTTAATGTGTTGTACACTATAATTAAAAAAGAGAAGAAAAAAAACAACCTAACCAACACACCAACGCTAGCTGGCTGAAAAAGAGGAAGAAGCTGTACAGTTGAGAATGACTGGCGTCTGCTCCATTTTTTAAGATGGCGAATCAAGTGTTAATCACAGGAATAGACGAAATCTTTGTCGGTGCCCTGTACAGCAGAGTCCGAACTCGTTCTGTATTAGCCGCTACAGATCCACAAACTGATGTTAGGGGAGTCCGTCCGGTAGGACTAGTAAAAAAAACTACGATAAGAGCAAGTATACTAACGAGTTCATAGCCAACCTAATGCTAACGTGAATGATACAATAGAGGAGAGAGATGAGAGCTAAGCTCTCATGCAAAATACATTAGTGGCTCAAGTAACAAGTGTTGTGGGACGTAATAGGAAAGAAAAACTCTTTTAAAGATAAATAAGAGACACCAACTGTATAATTTAGATCTTATAACTTGATCTATAACTAAGTACTTGGCTCTATTCTTGACCTTGATCTAAAGTGTATTCGGGGAAACGGGTAAGCTTGCAAGGAGCTTTGTGCAGTTTTTCTCTTTTTATTAGAAGGAAAAAACTGGCTCCTCGATCGTTTGATGAAGCTTTTTTGTTTTTGAAAAATAGCTTCACAAGTAGATTTCTGGATGAGGGTGAGCTGCTTTGAAAAAAATGTTTAGCAAAATAACTTCATCTAAGAACCAAAAGGATAAAAAGACCCTAATGTCCTATTTTTTTTTCTTTTTTCCTACTCTGTTTCTTCCTCGACTGCTCATCGCCCCGCCCCACGTCCTAGTAGCCGCGCCCTGACCCGTGTCGGCGGACGCGCCCGGCCTCACGACGGAGGTCAGCCACAGCTCTGGTGGCGGCAGCCAGCCTTGACCACCCTGAAGCCCTAGGGTCCGCGGCCATGGTCAGCGCTTTAACCCATGTTGGCGGACCGCGCCCATCCCGACGCCGCCCTAGGCTCGCGACGGCAGCCAAGACAGCCACCTGGCGTGGGCGGCCGCGCCTCAAGGCCCTTGCCTCATGCGGCCACGCCTGCCCGCCTGCATGACCCGACCCGACCTGCGACTCCGGTGAGCCACGCCCAGCTGGTCAAGACACCGGGCGGGCCACGCCTCGGCGAGCCGTGCTCCAGCAGTCGTGTGCCCCAGTAATGGCCTGACGCCTGCTACCGCGCCCCGTGGGCGACCACATGAAAGCAGAAGGGCCAAGGCCACGCATCCCCGCATGCTCCTTCGCTGAGAGAGAGGGCACATGCAGTCTTTTAGGCTTAGTGGGCCGAGCTATGACAAACTACTTTTCCAGCTTTCTCCTATCCCACCCCATTGAGGGGAGAGAAAAAATAGCTTCAACTATAAAGTTGTTTTAAAAAAACATGTTTGTTTTAAAAAAATAGCTCACAATAACTAATGAAGGTGTGCCAAGGCCTCGTTTAGTTGGCGAATTTTTTAAAAAATGGTACGGTAGCACTTTCGTTGTTATTTGTCAATTAATGTTCAATCATAGTTTAATTAGGCTTAAAAGATTTGTCTCGTGAATTTCGTCTAAACTGTGTAATTAGTTTTATTTTTTATTTATATTTAATGCTTCATGCATAGGTCCAAAGATTCGATGTGACGAAGAATCTTGAAAAATTTTACAAAATTTTGAGAACTAAACAGGCACCATCCCAGATATATGTATATAATTTTTTAAATAGTCCCCTATGTGTGTGTGTGATGTGACGTGATGCAATTCCTGGGGCTCCAAACAGTCCTCCATCGGAAGCTCCGCTATCGCTTATAGCACATCCGTGGCCGTGGTGCTGTTTCACTCGCTGCTACCGTGAAGCCTTTGCTCTTGCTCCTGCTCCTGCACGAAGAGGCTCTCTGCTCCACCGTGACCGTGACCCCCTCCTTCGCTCGGTTCATCCCCTACCGTGAGCACCGCGCAGCCATCATCAGGTCTCTCTCTCTCTCTGCACGTGCTCTGTGCCTTTTTTTTCTTTTGCTGGGAGAAACACAAGGTAGTAGCTGCGGGATTGAACTAACCCTTACTCATACTCGAAATGATAGGAATTATCAAGAGTGTTTCCACCTTCATTGCTTTGCCGGCAAACAAAGAAAAAAGGGGCAATTCGTTTTTCAGAAGGAATCAGTGTGCAGTTTATGTGGAAATGGATAGTGACTTAACATCCTCTTTGTCGTTTGTTCTTGTTTGTCCTTGTTTGGCCACCACCCACCAGGCACCAGCGGAGATAGTTGAGTTTTGAGGTGTGCTACTGCAAGCTCATCTCCTTCAGTTGGATTGGATTTTCCACCAACGGTGGTATTTGAGCCGGTCCCATGGCCATGGATGCACAAGATGAGGAGAGGCCGCTGATCCATCACCTGTCACCACAGGTGATACATCTTCAAACTCCTCCTTACCATAAAGCAAATGGGAAATAGAGTAGTTCCTTGTCAAGATACTTTTAGTTGCTTGTTTTTTTTTCTTTTGAAAGAAAGATACTTTTGTTTTCAGGATGAAACTTCTGAATTCACTAGCGATGGGACGGTTGATATTAGCAATCTGCCTGCCCGGAAGCAGAGAACTGGGAATTGGACAGCATGCTTCTTTATTTTAGGTACCGCTCTACTACAAGAATCGCTTACTTTGTGTTCCTTAATTATTTAACAAATTTAGTCATCTATGTGGATGCAGAGGCCCGATATTTTCCATTTTCTAAAAAAAGTTCACAAATTTAGTCATGCCATACCATTAAAGAAACTGAGTCATCTGTGCATTCCTTATTAATAACTAGGTGCTGAATTCACTGAATGTGTGGCCTTCTTCGCAATCTCAAAGAACTTGGTCACTTACCTCACGGGTGTTCTCCATGAGAGCAACGTCAATGCTGCGACGACCGTGTCCACCTGGATTGGGACTGCATTCTTCAAGCCCCTCATCGGAGCGTTCTTGGCTGACACATTGTGGGGACGATACTGGACAATAGTAATCTTCATCTCGGTATACGTCATTGTAAGTTACATACCATAAGTCCATAAGCAATGTACTACTAGTAAGTTGGAACCAAGCATGCTCCGTTTGTTTGGATCTGAGAAAGACTCTGTTCTGTTGCCATTGCCAGTGCCAGGGGATGATGATCCTGACTGGTTCAGCTCTTCTTCCACTGCTGATGGGCTTGTCCTACAACCGCGGCATTCACCGCCTCACCGCGTACCTGGGCCTCTCTACCTTGTTGCTCTCGGCAACGGTGGAATTAAGCCATGCGTCAGCGCCCTTGGTGCCGATCAGTTTGACGCGGCTGACCCAGTGGAGCGGGTGACCAAGGGCTCCTTCTTCAGCTGGTACTACTTCTCCGTCAACATCGGCTCCCTGCTGTCTGCGATAGCCTCTTCGTTTGCCTGTGGCCTGTGGTAAACGATCGTAAATTTTCAGCCGGAACAGTATTTTTCTATGACACACAAACCAGTCAGCACTACTTCTTTACGAACCAACAACGATACAAACCAGCCAACCGAACAGACTGGTGCAGGACAACATTGGGTGGGGAGTCGGGTTTGCGATCCCGACTGCGCTCATGCTGTCTGGTCTTGCCGTGTTCGTCGCCGGTAGGAAGGTTTACAGGTACCAGAGAGTGGAAGGGAGCCCTCTGACAAGAGTCTCGCAGGTGGTTGTTGCTGCTGCTCAGGAACTACCATTTGGTGCTGCCTGAAGACAGCTCTGCCCTGCATCAGGTGCCTTCCCCAACTGAAGGAAATCATTGCAAGATCCAGCATACAAGCCAATTCAGGTAATTAAATAAAATTGTTGAATTGGCGATCCAGGTAAACAACAAATGATCTGTCCTGTCAACTACAATTTTTATTATTATTACTATGTCACATGAAACTTATGAAACTTATGCCTGACATAGATATAATCACATGAATTCCTGTCCAGGTTCCTTGACAAGGCAGCAATTGTAGCGCCATCCTCCAGCGACGGCGAGAAAGGACCGATAAGCCCATGGAGACTTTGCACGGTGTCCCAGGTTGAGGAGCTGAAGACAGTGCTCCGGATGTTCCCTGTGTGGGTGTCGATGGTGCTCTTCTTCGCGGTCACCGCCCAGATGTCGTCGACCTTCATCGAGCAAGGCGAGACCATGGACAGCCACGTCCGGCCGTTCAACCTGCCGCCGGGGTCCCTCGCCATCTTCGACATCATCAGCGTCATGTTCTGCATACCCATCTACGACAGAGTGTTGGTGCCGCTGGCCCGGCGCGCCACGGGCAAGGCGCGGGGCCTGTCACAGCTGCAGCGCCTGGGCGTCGGCCTCGCGCTGTCCGTGGCCGGCATGGTGTACGCGGCGCTTGTCGAGGCCAGGCGGTTGTCGCTCGCCCATGCAGCGCCGGACAGGCAGCCGTCGATGAGCATCATGTGGCAGGCGCCGGCGTTCGCGGTGCTCGGCGCGGGGGAGGTGTTCAAGGCCATCGGCACCCTTGAGTTCTTCTACGATCAGTCGCCGGACGGCATGAAGAGCCTCGGCACGGCCCTTGCTCACCTCGCCACCGCGGCAGGCAACTACTTCAACTCTGCCGTGCTCGCCGCCGTGGCGACCGTCACGACGCGCAACGGGAAGCCAGGGTGGATTCCCGACGACCTGAACAAGGGCCACCTGGACTATTTTTTCTGGTTGATGGCTGTTCTCGGCGTGGTGAACCTGCTGTACTTCCTGCATTGCTCCATCAGGTACAGAGGCAACGGCAGCAGCAGCACATACTCTTGAGTCTTGGGGAGTGTTGGGCTGGCTGTTTCGGCCTGCTTATTTGCTGGTTTATAAGGCACGGTAGAGTATTTTTCTCTCTTAAAAAATCAGCCATACAAATCAGCACGAGCTGCTTTACCACCAGCCGAACACGCGTCCAGTAGTATATGACAAGATGACAATAAAGAGATAGATGGACATCGGATTTGTTAACGAGACAGCAGGGGGACTACATTTATAAGACGCCATTCGTGGCGTCCCCACAATAATAAGGAGTTTATCCCCACAAACACAAATACCTTTGGGAGGATATTGAGCCTTCTGCTCGTGGCTACACGGTATTACAAATGGTTTACCTAATCCCTACTAAATGTTATAACCAGTGGTTAGTACATCGAGATTCTAGAAATGCACAGCGGCTGCGACACAAGTCCAATTCGAATCCACCCATTAAGAGCATCTCCAACGGTTCCAAAACCCACTCAAAATCTTGATTTTTTAGTAAGATTAAAAAAAAGCTCTGCAACAACTCTATGTCTCAACTTTCAATCTTTCGGCACTTGAGAAAATTGACTTGACCGTGCGAAAATATAAACGTGCGTATCTGTCCACCAATCTAGAGGTGGAAGGACATGTGGAGGAATAAGGAGGATAGGATTTCCAATGCAAATATACCAGAGACAAAGAAAATATAAAAGTGGTTGATGTGATTTAAAAATAGTTTGGAATTCCAGATGAAAATTTGACTTCTATATTTTAGGAGCTAGATTATAGAAACTGTTGAAGGAACTCAACAAATATGCTCTCAACTTTGTTTAGCCAGTTGAAAAACTCATTGGTTTACCAACTAATTTTTTAGGAACTATTGGAGATGCTCTATATGTCAGGTGCCTGAAATATAGACTTTTCTTCAGCGACAGCCATAGAATATCACGTGTATACTATGCGAACATCACAAAATACATCATAAAACTTTATATGTACACTACGCGAACATCACCGCACGTCGCCTGAACAGCAAACACAAATTCAGGCTACTGTCGTATGTACGTGAACATCGCAAAATACATCATACAACATCACATGTGTACTACGTGAACATCGTAAAATTTATCGTAGAACATCGCCTGAACAACAGATACAAAATTCAGGCGACTGAAGTATAGAAAATGTGTATAACTAATCCTTTGTGGTTAGCCTTGCAAAAACAAAGTTAGCCACGTATACTTTGCCAACCACCAAAACCTAAACTAGGACTCGCGATATGTTCAATGGTAATGGGAGCAGTTGTTAAGAACACATAAATTTGTTACCTCTAAGGAGACTGGAACTCTTAAAAAGTGGCAGCTAGTAGCGGATAGAGAGGGGGCTGGAGAGGGTGAGGGGGGAAAGCAACCCCAACCTCCTGAATGTTCCACTATATAATTCATTAATTAGCTAATAATAAATGATGAAATAATTACTATTTAGCATTTATTTTGTTTGTCCTCACTTCTTTGTGTTCATTTTTAATGGTATCTATATGATTTATGACTAATATTTATGTTATCTTCTCCGTTTACTTTGTTCTTGTTATTGTTGATGTGGTTTTTTCCTACATAACATTCTAGTTGGTCTACACAATACGCGTCCAGTTAGCTAGTTATGATATTAATTAGTGCTTGTCTTCTTATTTATCCCTCACTATTAATCTCTATTGGTATCTATATGCTTGAAGATTATCCTTCCCCTCCCTTTTATTCTAGTTAATATAGTGTTTTTTTGCCGATGAATTAGATTAGTTGGGTGGAGATTAGAGACTTAGGGTTATTTAAATTTTCTCCATTTCTCTATAATTTTTAGTATCATTTTAGACATTTAACTATTTTGTATCACAAAACAAATATTGATTTGGTTATTATATATTCTCTTGCCAACCAAATATACATATATGTGTATGGGCATGTGTGTATTTCATGTGTGTTTATCGTTGGTACTGCCAAAACAAGCACACCCCCCCGCCCCCAATGGTCAAATCTTGGCTCCGCCCCAGGTGGTAGTGGAACCTACATGGATGAATTAGTTGTAATGGTCTCATTTGTAGTTACCAAAACACATGCGGCGACTCAAGAAGAAGTTGCAAGAAGCCCACCAGCAGAGCCATGAGTGCCCCTCCACCTCGATCCACTCCCTAGTGCTCTGGCACCATGGCTCTGAGCAAACCTCTTCCTCTTGCATGTCCTTCTCCTAGCTTTGTTCGCCCATTCTTCCTTGTCTACGGAGCTCCTTGCTATTTCATCTGTGTTGGGCTCAATGTTAAGGTGGAAGTTTGGCAAAAACATGGCTTGCTCTGAGCATGGTGTGAGCTCTTTCACCATTGTTGTTACTCTCGGTTATTGTAAGTTCCATCTTTTAGATTTCTCTATTGGCCTCCTTCTTTAGGCCACCATAGGAGGCTATGCTGCTGATTTTCATGTCTTGCTTCTCAATTATTGGGTTTTCAAGTTCTCTGTTTCTTCGAAGCTGGTGGGGTTCCTTGTTAACAAACTCAGCTCTTTCAATTTGAGGTCTACAACACCTTTCACCTTTGGGGTTCTGTTGGCCCTAATGGGCTCTAGGAGTTTAAACTCTATTATAAGGAACAACATGTTGTTTGGTTCTAAGTTGCTCCCAAAAAGTCCACTCGCAAAACATTCACGGATGTTGTCCATGCAACCCCTCTTTCAGGAGCTAGCCTCATTTCCTTTGGGATCTTCCTATTTGGAGACCCCTCAAAAATTGGTTTTTGATTATCTTGTCTTCCCTAGAGTATGTCTCTGATCATTTGGAGCCCCGTCCTTAGGCACTTCCTACCCCTTTAGGTGTCCCTCTTTAACTGCATTAGTATTTTGCCTCCTTTGGAAAGTCCGACTGTTTTGGATTCGAATTTGAACTCTCTCTTTAATTCGAAATCGTTTGCTACCCTTAATTGTTCTCATTTTCTTTTCTCGAATAACTCTAGAAAGGCTTGTAAGCATCGAATTAGATGCCATGCATGCCTTAATTGGGGACATGTGGTAGTTGCATCATGATTTTTGCATATCAATGGTGTCTCTCGATAGGTTACTAATAACAGTAAAGGGAAGCGGTGCTGTCATTGAAGTCATGCTAGTTTTGCCATGATCGCAGATCTCCCTGTGGGCCTAGCTTCTTCGTGTCACCGGTCTTCAAATCATTTGGAGATTTGGCTTGGGCCCTTTCATCTTTTGAGCTGTGTGCTCCATGAAGATTTGAGCCCGTGATTAATGTCCCTTGAATATACATGTGGCCTCTCTAAGCTGTAGGACCGATTACTTCATGTCACTTTTTGACTAAGAACTGATCACTGAACCCGAGCCAAACTCTTGATTCTTCGATGTTCAGTGTCGGTGTCGATTCTTGGTTTTCCAAACCTTGGTCTATGGCTTCGGCATTGGTTCTCAACATGAGTACGCCAAACAACTGAATGTCATCGATGTAGCATCTGTTACTCACTTGTATCTCCACCTTATCCCATTAACGCCCAACATAGGTGGCCTAATATCTGCATGACCAAATGGACACACCCAATCATGTAAGGATATCTAGATGACTAAAGGTGGTTGAATAGCCTAATTAAAACTTTCTACAAGGCACAACACTAACAAAACTTGTTAGACAATAAGATGGTCCTAATAAGCACTAATCAAGTTGAGTCAACAAGATCACCCCTACATAGTTCTAGTAGCAAAGATTACAACTAAGCTAACAAACTAGGATTGAACAACTAACAAGAACACTAGTTAAGAGCAACTACACAAGGCAAATGAGCCAATGAGTAAGACAAGCAATCTACCAAAGGGATTGAAAGCTCGAATGTAAAGCATAAGTGTAGAGATGGCAAACCACAAACTAGTATGCAAAAGCACAAAGCCTAAGCTCACTAGCAATACTTAATAACAAGGCAACTCAAGCCAAATTAATTAGAGACCTCAAATTACTTAGCTACACAAACTAAGCAATGTAACTAGCAAGGCTAGTCAAGCCAACTAGTTACGCAAAGGAGCTAGTTCTATGCTACACAAGCAAGGAAGGTAACTAGAAAGCTACACAAGCTAACTAATTACAAGAGCAACTACACAAGCACAATATATGAATAATAAGTAAGTACAACCTTGTGTAAGGGGATCACAAACCAACAGGAAGATAATGACATGGTGATTTTTATCCTGAGGTTCACTTGTTTGTCAACAAGCTAGTCTCCGTTGTGTCGGCCGGTTCACTTGGGAGTTCACGCGCTAATAGGCACCATGCCTAGCCCTACAATAGGGTGCCGTAAGAACATCCACAAGATGAGGGCACTCAATGACATGCTCTACTAGAGTTGCTCTTCGTGGCTCCCACAGGGTGAGCATAATACCCCTCACAATCACTTCTCTGGAGCACCACACAATCTTCTTTGCGTGCTTTGACAAAGACCACCACCAAGCCGTCTAGGAGGTGGCAAAGCTTCCAAGAGTAACAAGCACCACCGACTTGCAACTTGATCACCTAGTGCCACTTGATGCAATCTCAAAATGCAATCGCACTAAAATCACTCACTCGTAATCGATTCACACTCTTGCAAGCACAAGTGAGTTAGAGGGCTCTCAAGCACACCAACACAAGTCACAAAGGCTTAAGGGTGCTCAGCAACCAGCCCAAGGCCGGCTAGTACTTGGTTTTATAGCCTAGAAGCAAATAGAGCCGTTATACCCTCTTCATTGGGTTCTCTACGACCGGACTGGATGCTCAATCCACGACCAGACTCTTCAGAGCCAGCGTTCGATCACTGGATGGACGCCACATGTCATAGCCATTCGAAGCGAACCGTTGTGCCCCAATGGCTACTTCACTCGTGCGCGCTCACTGATCGGACTAGATGCGCCAGTCCTTTGACCGGACGCTGTGACCCCCAGGGTCCGGTCCAACACAGAAAGGATCTAGAGAGTTATTTTGCTCTTCTGTGCACGTTTTCTAGATGATGAACAGTGACACAGGCATGT